TTTTTGCTAAATAAATTATGAATCGATGATGGAGAACCTAGGATGTCTGTCGTGACATATATCCTTTCTCCCACCCACTATTTTAAATAGTGTGACAAATTAGGCTAATCTCATTTTAAGTTCTTAATCTATCCTTATATTGATTAGGTTTATTTTAATCCTTATATTGATTAGGTTTATTTTAATGTGAATTAGCCAGTTTCAAAACTAATTTAAAACATAATCACATTATGAGCCTACCGAATAAGTTAAATACAATTTGACTAATTCAACTCTCACCATATTTCCCATGTAGAGGTAATTATGTTGGGTCGGGTCGGTTCAAAATCGATTTGTTTTCCTCTCTTTCGTTTCCTTCCTTTCTTTCTTTCAAATAATTGAACTTGGGTTTCAAAAGATATATAAAAATAAAAACTACCTCCATGAAGGATCTTAGAGTAGGTATTCCATGGCTCGGAATTAATCATGGAAAGTGACTCGGGACAATCAATCTACACAAGAACATTGCTTTTCTCATTTTCTTTGATTTTTATAGTATTGTTATGAAACTTTCTTTGGGATTTTGTTGTTTTACTTTGAATATGAATAGCTAGTTTCTTTGTCTTATAGGGATTGATGTAGTCGTTGAACTTTGTGGATTGATTGCTTGATTTTATTTTTTTTTTTACAACATGTGGGGATGGAGAGGATCAAACTCACAATCTCTTGGTTGGAAATATATGTCAATTACTGCATGTTCACTTTGGCATTGCTTGATTCTCTTAATTGAATGAGTTTGAGTGTTCTATTTATGCTTCTCTATGTTAGCTTTTAATCTACTGATAAACTTGAATGATCTTAGATTTAAAATCTTGAGCTCGGGAGAGATGTTTTAGTGTTAGAATTGAGATATATAACTAAAAAAATTTTAAGATTGAGAAATTTATATTTTCTTTAGAGGCCGTCAAAAGACTTATTCATTAAAATTCTTACTTGTTATTTAAACTATACAGAGATATTGATTTCTTAATTAGTAGAGAGAATTAGTCTGCGCTAAGAACAGGTAGTTGAGATTTGAGAGTTAGTATTCTTTGGAATTAATAGTTAATTCAACCTTGAGTAATTAATTAATTGATTCATAGATTTAATAGGTGAAATCAATTCTCTAGGATCTTTATTCCCATTTATTTTCTCTATATTATTGTATATGTTTATTTGTTTATTCTATAATCTCTTATTCGGATTTTATTCTCTAAATAAAATTGAGCTGAACTTGAAACCCAATCCAGAGGACGATATTGGTATTGACTTTCACACTTTTATTAAAACATGATCCATACACTTGGGATAAGCAGTTTCTACAACATACACCGACCGCAACCATTCCTACCCTCTCTCTATATCATTTTGTCTTCAAATTTATTTTTATCTATGTAAATTTTTTGGGTGTTCTACGTGTCGAGTGGGAAGAAACTATTAAACGAATTTCCACAATCGATCAGCTTATTTTTTGTACGTTGGCAGGGAAGAAGGAAAGCCCAATTAAAAAAATATAGGTTTTTTTCCATGAAGATAGAAAAACGATCCGAGTGGAAGGTATTGAATTAGTGGGTGAAATAACAAAATGTGTTATTTCATAGGAAGAAATGAATGAGGAGCAAGGAACGTGATAGGTAGATGACTCTGTAAAAGATTAGAAAATCAAGTTTTAAAAAGAAAAACTAGACAAATTTTACAAGCGAACAAAAATTTAGGTCATCTCGTACAATTTTCTTATAGCGCCCTAGCCCTCTGTCTAAACGTTGTTTGATATAAACTTGACGTCCACGTTTCATTAGCCACATATAAGGATCACACAAAATTTCAGGTCAGAAAGTTCAGAATCAAAAAACATAGCTTCAATCTTTAGATATGTAGGTTGAATATGGGAATGTCAAATTGAATGGACAAGAATGGTGGTATTCAATTATGTGATTATTATTGCTTGGTGTGATGGGTAATTTGTGGAGATAATATATCCTCAATCAAGTTGTGGTCTTAAATTGCTCTACCTTCAAAATTAGAAATTAATTAATTAATTATGCTAAAGACTTCGGCTGACAACTGACAAGATATCTAGTTAAAAATAAAAAAAAAAACAAAAGAAAAACAAAACTGACAACTTTCACATGTTTTCCCAGCTCTTATCTAAATTAACTGCAGCTCCAAATCTAACCTCCATTTCATAATAGTCTTATATATTTTTTCCCTTAAATTCCACAATTGTAGCGATAAATAAATTTAATCATCAACTTTTTTTTATATGATAACAAATCTCGTATTCATGGAGCTATACTCGAATTAGTATACTTTAATTTTTTGTTGATGTTTGGTGTCGAATAATGACTGTAACTCTAAATTTTAGGGCCAACCTTTATCGAAATACATTTTGTATCATGATGTCTCAGACGAACCATTATAATTTGTCTAAGCTAGAACAAAAGTTTCAAGCTAACAAACATGTTGAATAGAGAGGCATTTGACCTAATATTAATTTGCATGCTTACCAAACCACGACATTAACGATTGAACCATTAAAAGAAAATTGGGTTTATTTAATGAGAAAGAAGTTTGTCATAGAGAAATCTGCCAAAGAAAAAAAGAAGTTGAACATTAGAAGAAAAAAAAAGATTTTTGAAAAACAAAAACCTATTTTTAAAAGCTACTTTTTTTAAAAAAAATTTACTTAGATTTAAAAAACGTTTTTAAATAAACAGAAAACATGAAGTTGAATTGGTTATTAATAGATATTAATGCTTGGTTATGGTTCCACGAGGAGAATTTGAGCCAATAATTCATTTAAACCTATAAGAAAAGTCATAACATATTCCATCTAAAAATGATGGATCAAAGTTTTCATTTCACCACAATTGCAGAGGCCACAAGAACAGGAAGGTCGATGGTAAACTAATTCATTCCGCAACCTCTTGAGTTTGATGAAATAAGTGCCCATAGGGAGCTAGTCTTGAGCAAGATTGGAAAGATCTCGATGGATTTATTGGATTTGTAAAGAAAATTCAAACAAAGTTCAATATTAATTGGGGAACGTCAAGAGATTTTAAAAAATTAGTAATGAGGAGGAAAAAAAAAAGGAAGGAAAATTTTATAAAAACCATTACAAAATTTGCTTATAACCCTTAATCCATTTTGGAAAATTGAAATCTATTATTAATTGTTTGCATTTTTTGTTTTAGAAAATTTTCTGACCTAATTAGTTACTTTGCGTATCAATATAATGAATTGTGTCATTTAACGAGCATTAATTTTCAATAATAAAAACTTCAAGAAAGTAGAGCCGTTATTACTTATTGGTTTTACCAATACCATCCATTCATAACCAATAACAAAGTGGGAAAAGAATCTCCAAATTTAGAATGGATAAAGTAATATAATATTTATTTACCGTTCTTTATATTTAGAAATAAATTTATTGCTTATTGATTAAATAAAAATATGACCAAAAAAATACAGTATCTTACTGACAATAAAAAATAATAGATATTCTCCAAAAACAAAATAAAAAAAAAGATATTTTACAAAAACAAAAAGGAAACCAAAAGATATTATATTTAATTTTGGACAGTTTTTTTAGTACAAAGTATATTATATTGGGGTATCGAAAAATTTTGACAGTTTTTGTATGATATAAATAGTAGAACTTTGATTAAAAAAAATGTAAGTCATTTAATGGTCAAGAGAATCATATTCCAACGATAAATGATATCTACTCTTCTATTTGAGATTGGAAGATCAAATCCTCCTACTTTATCTTTGTTGTACTAGAAAAAGAAAATTATTTAATAAAATTTCTCTTAATTGTTTGACCTATTTAGAAAATAATAATATGGAATTAAGAAGCCCGGAAATCGTTAACTAAACATCATAAGATAAAATATCTATTATTATCTGAAAGATCGAATTTTCAGTATCTCACCCTTGAAAAAAATTTGAAAATAAGATGAACAGATTTTTTTTTTCAGTACAATAATTTGAGGATATGGGGATCGAACTTCCAACCATTTGGTATATGAAGGGTTGAACTTTCGACCTAAAAAAAAGAAATAGATATCACTTACTATTCACTTATGTTCATATGTTCCTAGGAGATTAATAAAAGTTAAAATTATAGAAACCAAACGTGCCGGAAGTTTAGAAACCAAAAAAGAAGAAAAAAATATAGGGATTAAAACGAGTATTTAAACCAAAAAATAAAATTAAGTTCCTTTTTTTTTTTTTAGTTTCTC